TGGCGGAGGTGCAGATATCACGTCCCCTGCTTTCCATTGCTTGGTGGACAATATACTTGACGATGGATCAAGTTCTTGGGTGACCTTGGAAAAGTCATTTAACCACTTTCAGTCTCGTTTTCCTCGTTGTAAATGGAATTACTTATACTACATTTCTACCAGCATGACCTGGTGTACCAGCTATGACAGCAGCGGCTGTATGGGAAGGCGTAGCAGACTCCGAAACTCTGTGCACATGCTCGAGCCCCCCCCCCCCAGCTAGAGCCCACGGTATAAATCTCCCGAAATAACAGATCTCTCGGACTGGCCTCTGCCTCCAGTCTCACACAAATCAATTCCTCTTGATAATAATGCCACTTGGTAATAATCATTTATAATTAAATACAGATCTAAACAAGTAATTCCCCTATCGCCTATGTGTCTGTATTTACCTGACCTTCAAGGTCTCCATAATCTGATTCAAATTTAACTCCTTGCCAATATTTTCGTCACTCACCCCCTTCCTTCTGCTTATGCCTCACTGGGACCTGAACAAGTCATGTGTTTCCAGGCCTCCCTGTTTTTGCTCGCTTGCCCCCTGTGCCTGGAATCACCTCCTCCATTCTCTCTAATAGAACAGAAATAATTGTCATTCTCTAAGGCCCATCTTCTGAGTCAGCTTCCTCATTCTTGCAAGTCAAATGCTTCCGTTCATTCCTCTAGAGGTCCCAGAACATTTTTCACTTCTGCTTTGGCATTTAATCAATTTTCCATGTGTTCTTTTTCTGATGTATATGAATTTCCCCCAGCTTTATTGCAAACAGGAAAAGAGCAGGACCCCGTCTAGACACTGGCAGCCATATATATTCTCAGGAAGTGTTTATATAATAATTGAGGTTGTGCATTATGGGACTCTATTAGATTATCCCTACCAAGTAGATAATGTAGAAACCTGTACTTTTTTTGAAGTTCTTCAAAGTCCGTATGTCTATCTTATGAATATAAGACCAAATGGATCAGAAATACCTGGGTAAAATTTGAATTTCTCATTCTCCTCTTAAAATCAAACAATTTAACTAAACTAAGTCAAACTAAAAGGATCTCAGAAATTATGCAGCTTAAGTATCCCCATTTTATGAATGAGATTATATAGTTTCAACTTAAGTCAACCCTCCAGTTAGGACTGTTACAAGCTACAAATATAGTGACCATCCTGAGCCCCTCTCTTCTACGCTTACCCTGAAAAAGCTCAGTCACTAGGGCCCAAGGGACATTCAAGGCATGGCAGCCTGCCAAGGTTCTCATCCAACCCAGCAGATGGGTGGCAACACCTCATTTCTCCCATTTGCTCCTCCAGGAAGAACACTGGGCAAGCAGTCTTTCAACTTTTAGAGACTTGGATTTTTTTTCTTCTTTGCCCAAATTAGTCATTTTAAGAACAGAGGAAAGAAAGCAACTTGTCACTTCTGTCACACACACAGGCCCAGCTAAGAAGATGTGCAGAAGGGTTCTCTCCTAATACCCGAGTCCTCTTGCTGTTCTCCTGGGTCTTATCTTCATCCTACTCAGCTTCTTGTGGCCCCAATATTATATCCCAGAGTCATCTTCCTTTCCCTTAAAACTCTGGCCCAAGTTGGGCCAACAAGCTCTTCTCTTCTTTCCTGAAAGCAGAACTGAGACAGCCAGACATCGCAGCATAGGGCAGTTATGAAGAGTAACCAGAGAATTGGAACCAAAAAGGCAAACAGCATCGGAACGGCCACATTTCCAAGGAGGAGCTTCTGATACAGAGAGAAATAGACTCACCCCAGAGGCCGGGGCCACCTCCCAGGGACCTGGGTTCCCGGGAGCTTGCTCCAGTTCTGTCATCTGTGCTCAGCTTCTGTTAGTGCTGTGCCTGCACCTATGAAGTGAGATCACACACTCCTGCCAAGCTCATGGGATCCCTGTGAAAACCAAGGAAAACGTACCCATGAGACACAACTGAGACACCTTTAATTCTGATCAAATATAAGATGTTTCTTTCCTTTTGTTGGTTTGGGGGTTTGTTTTCCTCCTCGATCTATCACCCTTGGACACAATTCATCATACGGCTCAGAGGAAATACCTATCAGAACCCCAGCAGACACCTGCCAGAAAAGAGAGAACTTAATAATGGTTTAAAAAAGAGGTTGGTGGGCTGGGCACGGTGGCTTAGAATCCCAGCACTTTGGGAGCCCGAGGCGGGCAGATCACCTGAGGTCTGCAGTTTGAGACCAGCCTGGCCAACATGGTGAAACCCTGTCTCTACTAAAAATACAAAAATTAGCCAGGCATGGTGGTGGACGCCTGTAATCCCAGCTACTTGGGAAGCTGAGGCAGGAGAATCACTTGAACTCAGGAGGCAGAGGTTGCAGTGAGCTGAGATCATGCCGTTGCACTCCAGCCTGGGCAAAAAGAGCAAAACTTCTCTCCAAAATAAATAAGTAAATAAAATAAAATTAAATTAAAAAGAGGCTGGCACAGAACCAGGGCTCCCTTCGACTGCACTTGCCACCCTCCGATGAAGGCAAACAACTTCCTGCACTCCAAATCTCAATTTAGAAAAGGCCCACATTGGCCAGGCACAGTGGCTCATACCTGTAATCCTAGTACTTTGGGAGGCCAAGGCAGGAGGATCACTTTAGGTCAGAAGTTTGAGACCAGCCTGGCCAAAATGGTGAAACCCCATCTCTACTAAAATTATTTTAAAAAGCTGGGCACGGTGGTGCGTGCCTGTAGTCCCAGCTCCTCTGGAGGCTGAGGCAGGAGGATCGCTTGAACCCGGCGGGGAGGTGGAGGTTGCAGTGAGCCAAGACACACCACTGCACTCTAGCCTGGGCAACAGAGAGAGACTCTGTCTCAAAAAAAAAAAAAAAAAAAAAGAAAGAAAGAAAGAAAGAAAGAAAGAAAAGGCCCATATCCACTTGTCAGGCTTACCTGCTAGCAACAGGTGGCAGTTTCCAGCCTCCTTCCCCCTAACTTGAGGGACTGAAGTGAGTGGTAGGGTGGTGGCCTGGCTGAGGAGGTCTTTTAATGACCCCCAGAAGGTCTGTTCCTCAGTGGGCTCACCTGAAGGGCCTTATCCCCTCTAATGGTCTATGCCTGCTGTAGCCACCCCACCTGGGTGACTTTGTCAACTCCAGATGCAAATGTTTGGGTATCTGCAGTGGGATTCCTCTGCTCTGAACCCTCCTAGCACGTGGACCTAGAAGGGCCCAGAATACAGTAGGAGCTCAATAAACATTCATTGGCTCTTTGCATAAATGAATGTGAGTATCAAACATCAGAGGCCAAGATTTTACTTGGTTTGTATCTGTTCTGTATTTAACAGGTATTCAGGAAAAAGTTCATCAGGCAATGTCTTCATTAAATCATAATAGTTTACCATTTAAAGTATCTACTGTGTGCCATGTGCTTCACAGACGTTCTGGAAATAACCATGAAACAATCATGAGATGTTCTTGTCCCCATATCACAGCTGATGAAACTGAAGCACAAGAGGTTCGGTAACGATGCCAGGTTACTTGATTATTTAATGGGGCTGGAACTTTACCTCCAGATTAACTCCAAAGACCAGCACCATCAATGTAACCAGCTGTCATTCTACCTACCTGTCCTTCCCCACCCACCAACACCATTCCAAAAAAGGATTTAGGACAACTCACTGAACAACGAGTCCTGAGGATCTCTCTCTAGAAAAATCTAGAGAAATGTTCTATTTAGAAACATTTCCGATTTTTTTTGTTCAACTTTTATATTAGTCTCAGGGGGTACATGTGCATGTTTGTTTCTTGGGTAAGTTGTGTGTCGCTGAGGTTTGGTGTACAAATGATCCCATCACCCCGGTATAGGATCCAATAGGTAGTTTTTCAACCCTTGCCCCCTCCCAGCCTCTCCGCTCTAGTAGTTCCTCATGTCTGTTACTCCCATCTTTATATCCATCTGTACTCAACATTTAGCTCCCACTTACAAGTGAGAACGTGTGGTATTTGGTTTTAAGTTCCTGCATTAATTCTCTTAGGATAATTTGAATATCAGAAATTATCAGACTGTATCCAGAGCCACATTGGGGAAATAAAGTCATCAAAGAATGAAGTAAATCCAGTTTGATCAAACAGCAGAGCAATGATTAAAATCACCTTGGGATGTCTATTATTAACACAGTTCTAAGGCAATTCTGGAAGAAAAATCCCATTGAGTATTGAATGATCACATCATTAAAACAGGTCTCTCTTATAGATTCTCAGATAGATGTATTTGAGGAGCAAAATACTCTCTTGTTTTTATAAACTCTGGGGGTATTTATTTAAAAAATAAAATCATGCTACTTATTTATTACCAAATCAGGGTACCTCTTACCTTCTAATACATAAGAAGCTTTTGTAGAAAGCAGGTTGATGTATTTAGAATGTATTATTTCTATCTTTGGGGAAAAAGGGGCTGTTAATATCCAGGAAGACAGACTTGAATGAGACGCTGGTCAAACGCGTTCCTCAAAGTCAGACTTTCTTCTGAAAGGCGCAAAGTTTCCCTCTCCCTTCAGGCTTGTAGAAATGCCAGCTTCCACACTGGTGGAAAGTGTGGGGGACTGGATGAGGTTTATCGTTATGTTTGCTTGTTTCTTTGTTTGTTTGTGAAAAGGAGATTACATCAGAAAGGGCCTAAAAATAAAGGCCAAGTCTCCATCAACGGGGTAGCCACCCACCTGCACACGCCCAGGGGCCTCCATGCCTCTGAAGCCTCATTCAGGTCTATGGCAGAGTATCTTCATTCTGGCTGCTGTTGGAATCATCAGAAGAACTTTCAAAACTCCCAGAGCCCAGTCCTCAACCCAATGCAATGACATCAGGAACTCTGGGGAGGACCCAGATGTGATTTTTTTTTTTTTTTAAGTCCCTGGGCAATTCCCATGTGTAACCCAGGTTAAGACGACAGCCACTTCAATTGTCCCCTGAAGCCCAGGTTGTACAAGGATGTCGAGCCATCAAAACTCAACAGCAGTGCTTGCTTTAGCAGCACATATACTAAAACTGAAATGATACAGAGAAGAGTCACATGGCCCCTGCTCAAGGATGACATGCAAATTCGTAAAGTCCATATTTTTAAATTTCGTGCCGTGCATTAAGAAAAATAATAAAAACAGGCCGGGCACAGTGGCTCACGCCTGTAATTCCAGCACTTTGGGAGGTCAAGGTGGGTGGATTACTTGAGGTCAGGAGTTTGAGACCAGCCTGACCAACATGATGAAACTCCATCTCTACTAAAAAATACAAAATTAGCCCAGTGTGGTGTTGCATGCCTGTAATCCCAACTACTTGGGAGGTTTAGGCAGGAAGGCAGGAGATTCACTTGAACCCAGGAGGAGGAGGTTGCAGTGAGCAACCTCCTGGCACCATTGTACTCCAGCCTGGGCAACAAGGGTGAAACTCCATGAAAGAAAAGAGAAGAGAAGAGAAGAGAAGAGAAGAGAGAGAAAAGAAGGGAAAGAGAGAAAGAGAAAGAGAAAGAGAAAGAGGAAGGAAGGAAGGAAGGAGGGAAGGAAGGAAGGAAGGAAGGAAGGAAGGAAGGAAGGAAAAAAGGAAGGAAGGAAAAAAGGAAGGAAGGAAGGAAGGAAGGAAGGAAGGAAGGAAGGAAGGAAGGAAGGAAGGAAATACAAACAACTACTCCACAGCAGCCAGCATCACATAGCCTGAGAGGTGACATCCTTGGCTCTGCCCCCAAGCATATGAATCCTGCCTCCATTATAATTCTAGTTATGAGACCATAGGCATCCACAGAGTGCTGAATATTTCTATGCCTCCATTTCCTCATCTGTAAAATGGAGGTAAAGTCTTCTTTGGGAGTCGTTGTGAAAATTAAATAAGGTGATATATAGAAGGCACTTAGCATCTGGCTGGAACATGATAGACTGGTAGTCATTATTTCCAGAATCTCAGTATTCCATCCTGAGTTAAGAGGTGAAGAGCGAACAGTGCTTGGTGGCCTGGGAGGAGTTACGTATAATGTCTCTTTTCTCTTGCTTGCCACCAATCACCTTTGCCTCAGAGTTTGGGTGGGGCACAAGAAAACTTGTAAACCTCAGCCTAGTTACAGAGCGGCCTTTAAAGATTGTCCCCCAGGGTAAGGGGCAGTGTCTCTGGGTAGTGGAGGAGTAGCTGCCCTTGGGGGATGTGTCTGGGTTCCTAGACATCTTAGGAATGATCAGTTTCCTAGGGGAGGGCATCTGACGATGGATCCGGGGGTTTCCAAGACCCGAGGGGCTATGAGGAAGGGGAGGACCCTTCTGTCTTCTTGACCTTCTGTGTGCAGAGTCACTACGAGTTCAGTTAGGCACCTTGAGCAACAGGAAGAACAGATGCTCTGGCCCAGCTTCCTCTTTTCTGAGAAGCGGAGAGTCTGAATCATAGAAGACGTGCAGTGATTCAGATTTTGAGATAAGAAAGGACACATCAAAACAGTAATCTTCAGTTTTCCCAGAAGCAGCTTCTCTTTGAACACATATTTTACCTGCAACTACTAGCTAACAAATCATAGGCCACTGTGAAGCTTGTTTTATTGGCAAAGGATCAATTCAGCATGTCTGACATATGCCAGGTGCTGGGCATGTAATATCTCATCACGGTAGGCTGAGGCTCATGGACTAGAAATAAACTGCCCAAGGTCACTCAGTTGGTAAATGCTAGATTCCAGAGACCAGAGTTTTCCGTGGCTCTCCACCTTGAGCACATATCAGAATCCTCTGTGGTCGTGTTGAAACAGATTGCTGGCCCCACCTCCAGAGTGACTGATTCAGCATGTCTGGGGTGCTGCCTGAGAATCTGCATTCTTTTTTTTTTTTTGAGACAGAGTCTCCCTCTGTCACCTAGGGTGGAGTGCAGTGGCGCGACCTCAGCTCACTGCAAGCTCCGCCTTCCGGGTTCACACCATTCTTCTGCCTCAGCCTCCCCAGTAGCTGGGACTATAGGCGCTCACCACCTCGCCCAGCTAATTTTTTGTATTTTCAGTAGAGACGAGGTTTCACCGTGTTAGCCAGGATGGTCTCGATCTCCTGACCTCATGATCCACCCGCCTCGGCCTTCCAAAGTGCTGGGATTACAGGCGTGAGCCACCGCACCCAGCCTGAGAATCTGCATTCTTAACAAGTTCCCAGGTGATGCTGATGCTACCGATCTGAGGACCACAGTTTGAGAACACCTGCGTCATAGCAGCAGCATCAATTACTATGACTCAGCCATTAAGAAAAAGGGAGGGGAAGTCCTTAAAAATACCTCTTGAAGAGGTGGTTAAGTTTCCCCACTCACCCTCCCTATCCAACACTCACACACACACACTGCTGACACCATCATTTGTTGCACATATGTATTCTTCAGAGAGAGCAGAGGCTTCCTGCTTTGTTGAGATCCAGTCACACTCTGAATAATGACTGAGATCAGCAGACTGAGATTTCACCAGCCTCCCTTGATTGCCTCCATGAGAGCCTTTTCTTGGGCCAGGTAAGGAAAAGCCCAAGAGAGAGAGAACAAACTGGCCACACAATGCAACCGGTGCATTCTCAGCCTCTTCAGAAGACCTTGGCAACCAGGGAAGCTTGATTGCAATTTGTGGCTATCAACACAGGCTGGGCCTCCAGTGACCTCAGACAGCCTTTTTGGTGATATTTGTCTGGTTTCCTAGCAACCTGAACATTAAGGAACAGAGGTGTAAACAAACCTGCTGGCTGCCCCCTGGCCAGGTATTGGGAAGAATTTCTGCAGCAGTGGAAGGGTCTCAGCTGGCAGCTCAAATAAGCTCTGTGATCCCACCCACAGGGTGTAAACAAAACCACGTTCCTGTATGCCTCCATGACAATTAAAGCCGCGCAAAAGCACAACTGCAAACGATATGGTGTAACTGTGAACCGCTGGCAGAAACCTTAGCTCAGTATGTAATAATCTGAAATAAAACCTGTGTTTTAAAGCTGATGGCTTTGAGAAATATATGTCATGCCATTTTTAGAAGTCACTCTTGTGACGTCATTACCATTGGCCCAATAGCATGAAACAGACTAAAGCGGCAGCAAATGCTGTCCCAGTGAGATGTCTCGTCCTGAGAGACGATGTTGGAAGGGTGGATGTTTGGAAAGGAAGTGACAGTGTGAGCTTAAGAAGCAGCCAAGCATTCAAGCCCCAGCTCTGCCATTTATCAGATGAGTGACCTAATCCTAATACCCCTTAGGTATTAGGCGTATTAGGGAATTAAGCATATCATCTAATTCCCACGTCCTGACCAGTAGCAGATAAGATACCCTAAATCTGTCCAGGTATCTCATGGCTACCCACCACATCCAAGCCATCATCTCTAGTCTGGATTGTTGCAATAACCTGCTAACTAGTTTCCTTGCTTCCATAGTACCCACTCAACAGTCCATTCCCCACCTAATAGCCAGAGATCTTTTTTCTTCCATTGTGATAAAATACAAATAGTGAAAAATTTACCATCTTAACCATTTTTAAGTGTGCAGTTCAGTAATGGTAAGTATATTCATTTTATTGCGCAACCAATCCCCAGAATTTTTTTTTTTTTTTTTTTTTGAGACAGAGTCTCACTCTGTCACCCAGGCTGGAGTACAGTGGTGTGATCTCAGCTCACTGCAACCTCCACCTCATGGGTTCAAGCAATTCTCTTGCCTCAGCCTCCCCAGTAACTGGTACTCCGGGTGCACACCACCATGCCCAGCTAATTTTTTATTTTTAGTACAGTTGGGGTTTCACTATGTTGGCCAGGCTGGTCTCGAGCTCCTTACCTCATGGTCTGCCCGCCTCAGCCTCCCAAAGTGCTGGGATTACAGGCGTGAGCCACTGCGCCTGGCCAGAACTTTTTCAGAACTTTTTCATCTTATAAAACTGAAACTCTGTACCTATCCAGCAACTCCTCATTTCTCCCTTCCCCCAGCCACTAGCAACTACTATTCTGTTTTCTGTTTCTATAAAGTTGAGTACTCTAGATACCTCATATAAGTGTATTGATACACTGTTTGTCCTTATTTCACATAGCATAATGTACTCATCCATGTTGTAGAATGTGTCAGAATTTCCTTCCTTTTTAAGGCTGAATAGCTGCCCATAGTGTGTATATCACATTCTGTTTATTCTTTCTTCCAGTGGTTTCCACCTTTTGGCTATTGTGAGTAATGCCACTATGAATATGGGTGTACAAATCTCTCTCTGAGACCTCGCTTTCAATGCTTTTGGATATATACCCACAAGTGCTATTGCTGGATCATAAGTAAATTCTATTTTAAAATTTTTGAGGAACTGCCATACTGTTTTTCTTTCTTGTTTTTTTTTTTTTTTTTTTTTTTTTTTTTCCTTTTTTCTTTTCTTTGAGAGGGAGTTTTGCTCTTGCGCCAGGCTGGGAGTACAGTGGCGCTATCTTGGCTCACTGCAACCTCCGCCCCCAGGGTCAAGCAATTCTCCTGTCTCAGCCTCCCGAGTAGCTGGAATTATAGGCACCCACCACCAGGCCTGGCTAATTTTTGTATTTTTAGTAGAGACGAACTTTGTCCTTGTTGGCCAAGCTGGTCCCAAACTCCTGACTTCAGGTGATCCACCTGCCTCAGTCTCCCAAAGTGCTGGGATTACCGGTGTGAGCCACCGTGCCCGCTGTGCCATTTTACATCCCCACCAACAGTGCAGAGTGAACTTTTAAAGAAAGACTTCAGCACTGTTGACATTTGGGGCTCAATGTGTGTTTGTTGTTTAGTAGCATCACTGTCCTCTACCCACTGGATTCCAGTAGCAACTTCCCCCTTCCTAATTGTGACTGCCAAAAATGTCTCCAGGCATTGCCAGATGTTCCCTGGGGGCAAAGTCGCCCCTGGTTGAGAATCACTGAATTTAATCATAGCTCTCCCCAGCTTAAGCCTCCCATTGCCCTGAGGATAATATACAAACCTTCTCATAGCTGACAAACTGCTCGAAACTTCTTTTTTTTTTTTGAGGTGGAGTCTCACTCTGCCACCCAGGCCGAAGTGCAGTGGCACGATCTCGGCTCACTGCAAGCTCCGCCTCCCGGGTTCACACCATTCTCCTGCCTCAGCCTCCTGAGTAGCTGGGACTACAGGCG